TCCTTGGGTTAAATATTTGATTTTTCATTTTTCGCGAACCATTATCGCAAAAACTTTGAGGAAAGGTTCTTTGTTGACTTTTTTGGTAATTTTTTCTAAATTGCTTATTCTGTTTTCTACTTTTTGGTTCAATTGTTCAATTTTGGTTTTAATAAACCTACAAGAACAATTAAACTTATAAACTATTTCTCAACCCAATTCTATTTGTTCTACTTCCCGACAATCTTCATTTTCACACACACTTACTTCGTAGTCATTAATTAAAAATACATTTGGACAAAATTTAATATGGTTGAGAAAATCTTGAACATCCACAAGTGTTTTCTCACAATGATATCAAGTGCCTTCTCATTTCGTTTTTCCGTATTTAGTTTTTATTTCTTTGAGTGACTGAACGATAAATGTTCAAACTTGATTTTTCTCTTTTTCCACATGACAAGGACAAGAAAAACAGCAAACACCGCCTCCCGTCTGAACGATTTGCGTTCTTTTGCAAAGCGGGCATTCTCACTCTCTTATTGTTGTAGAGGTGCTTGCGCCCTCTAATTTAGTTAGTGGCATAACACATATAATTAATTACTACATAATAATTATACGCACTTTTGCTTTCACTAAAAATTAATTTATGAGTAATAGCGATAATGAACTAGAAAAAGTTCTAAAGCCTGGTAAGGTTTTGCTCCTCGAAAGTTAAAAAAAAATGTCGGTAGAAAAGTTCAACAATTAGAAGAAAAATTAGTGGGGCAAGATGTTTTAAGCGAGAATAAAAAAGAGTAAAATCACATGCCATTTCCCTCCAAAATTAAAAAAAAACTAGCCAATTTACCTTCGCAGTGTGGTTGTTATTTGTTTACTAACCAGCAAGGAGAAATTATTTATATTGGTAAAGCCCGTAATCTGAAAAATCGGATTAGTAGTTATTGGCAAAAGACCCCGGTTAGTGATTATTTCCAGCAACAAATTCAAGACTTTAACATTATTTTAACCCAGAATGTTAAGGAAGCATTAATTTTGGAACAAAATCTTATTAAAAAGCACCAGCCGCGTTTTAATGTTTTGCTAAAAGATAGCAATTATTATCCTTACCTCGAAATTACGACCGAGAAAAATCCGCGTTATAAGGTAGTGCGGAAAATGGACCCTCAAAAAAAAAGTTCGTATTTTGGTCCTTTTCCAGACGGCAGCAAGGCCCGTGAGATACTACAATTATTAGAAAGGTTGTTTCCTTTGGCTAAATGTAAAGGTAATCTCGGAAAACCTTGCTTTTATTACACTATCGGCCAATGTTCCGGGCATTGTTGGCAAGTGGTTGATAAATCCTACTACGAAAAAACTCGGAAACAAATTGGCCAATTTTTTCAAGGCCAGACCCAGGAAATTAAAAAAAAAATCCTGGATTCGTTACGAAAAAATATTAAAGATTTAGCCTTTGAAATCGCTCAAAAAGAGAAAAAAATCCTCGATAATATTGATTTTTTTACTAGCAAGCAAAACGTTGAATTCCAACAAAGCTCCGACTACGATTTTCTGGGTATTCATTACTCAGAATTGCCGGCTAGCACGGCGGGCGGCTCCGAAAACATTATTACGCTTTTTTTGCTTATTTATCGTTATGGTAAGTTGACGAACACAGCCGAGGCATCTTTTCCGGTCTGGGCTGACCCGGACGAGGTAATTCAATCTTACCTTTATCAATTTTACCAAAAAAACCTTCCTCCGCAGATTTTATATTTGCCGAAAACAATTAACGGCCAGGATTTATTGGCCGAAGAATTGAGTTTTCGGCTGGAAATTGCTCGGTGGGGGAAGAAAAAAGCGATTTTGAAACTAGCTCAACAAAATGCTTATCAGGCTTGACGAAAAAACTATTGAAATGAGTTTCAACAAGTCAATAAAAACCCGGTGCTGGTTGAGATAAGCAAGTTTTTGGGCCTTCCAATGCCGTATTATATTGAATGTTTGGACGTTTCTAATCTTTATAAGCAGGATGTAGTAGCAGGTTTTTTGGCATTTACTAACGGAGAAAAGGATTGACGGAAAAGTAAATTGTATAAGTTGGCTGGGACGGAAAATGATAGTGATATAGCTCGAATTAAAAAAGCCGTCGCTACTCATTATCCTAAATTTTTAGCTAAGGAAAGGCCGAATTTACTAATAGTTGACGGGGGGAAAGAGCAAGTGAAAGCGGCACAACAAGTTTTAAAAGCATTAGCATTGCCAGTGCCAGTAATTGGACTAGTTAAAAACGAAAAACACCGCACGACCAAAATAATTACTAGTGAATTAACGGAATTAGATTTTGGTCCCCACGAAAGAATTAGAAATTTTTTTACTAATTGTCAAGAAGAAGTTCATCGTTATGCACTTAATTTTCATCGTAAATTGCATCGGCAGACAGCTTTACAAAATATTTAAGTCTTTAACTTAAATTATAGCTTAAAAAAAGCAATTATATTACTCTCTAATAATTAATGTCAATCAATCATTCCTTTTAATCTCTAGTAATAAAGAGTTAGAGATTTAAAAACCGACCATTTAATTTTAACTTTGTAATATATTAAGGCAAAAAAATATAATTTTTCTCTAAAATATTAGCATGCTACTTTTTTCATAATTAATGTCCGATTTTGAGAACAAAACCAAAATCTAAGCACTCTCTAAAATATTTGGTTAAATCTTCTTCTTGTAGCGATCTTACTTTATCATCTGTGGCTTCTCTCAGTTCTTCTTCCGTCCTTGGTTCTTGGCTCTCAACATAACTTTTAATAACATTGAAAACCAATTCAGTAGGTATCCGAATAGAAAAAGTTAGGGAAATTGACAGAGCCGGACAAAATCTCACAGGCGAACTAATTATTGCCGATTTTCCCCAGTTAAAGGAAATAAAGGTATATTTTAATCAATTAACTCAACTCCACCTAAAAATTGCTCGCACTTAACTCGTTTAAGTTGTTACGGCAATTATCTTACTGAATTAACTATTACCAATTGCCCTAATTTACAGGAAATATATGCTTTCAGAAACAAAATCACCGCCAACCTTAATATTTTTTCGCACTTAAC